ATCTTGTGTCTCATCCTAGGGTATGAAGTAAAAGTTCGTCAACAATCATACCGAAGTCAATTTGAAAATTTTGATTTATAATCGTGGACGATAACTCCAAGTCTGAAAGAAAATTTCTTAGCATACGACTTAGGATCTCAATAGAGCTTTGATCAATCAACATGATATAGAGCAACTATTGTTAATGTGAACTTAGGACACATTATAAAATTATTGCAAATGCGATCCCTCTTCATTTGAGGAGTTTAAGATAGAACATGATCTGAATGAATAAGAAGTCTTTTTTAAATAAATAATTGTAACTACTCGATCAAAATTATACTCTGACATTTTGCTAAATAATACTTGTTTTATTTTATAGACATATATTTTATGAATAAGAGAGTGTTTCATTGCAACAAAATATAAAGTAATATAATTTATTTTTCAAAGGTAATTGAATGTCAAATGTTTATTTTCTCTCTTTTCATATATATCTTTTGTTTAATTGATAAAAATATTATTATTTATGCGTATGTTTGTTTAATTTTTTCATCAAAATGTAACTTATTATTCAATTTTAGTAAAAATGAGTAAAAATTTTACTTCATAAGGTTTAATTAAATATTTTTTATTAAAAAATGTGATATATGTCACTCTCTGTTTTCTTATTTATATTTTGTTACTTGACAAAAAATTATTATTTATGTGTGTTTGGTTAAGTTTATCAACATGTAACTTATTATCAAAGAAAAAAAAAAGGATAAATGAAAAAGAATAATTGGATAAAAGAAATGGAAATATTAAAGAAGAGAGATGTAGCTCCATAAATACATTAATAACTACTTTTTTTGTTTGTAAAAAAGTTGTCCAACTTGGCAAATTGTTGATCCTCCAAGTGCTTATGTGGCAAGAGATTACTTTTGAATAATTGGATAAAAGAAATGGAAATATTAAAGAAGAGAGATGTAGCTCCATAAATACATTAATAACTACTTTTTTTGTTTGTAAAAAAGTTGTCCAACTTGGCAAATTGTTGATCCTCCAAGTGCTTATGTGGCAAGAGATTACTTTTGAATTGCCATAATATATAGTATAGATAGATATAGATATAGATAGATAGATATAGATATAGATATAGATATAGATATAGATGATGGTTGTGCTTCACCATTAACAAACAAGGATCTATCCGATATCATGCGTATAAAAACAAAGGAATCAGATCATGTCGATCAATCCAGTACTAAAGTTCAAGAAAAAAACGAGTTCTTTGTTGCTGAGTGGGAGTCTCAAACTTTTGTCAGCTCTTTCGATGATTGTAGGAGCAAGAGTCCATGTACGTATGAGGGTTTTTACTCATACCCTGACGACAGTTCTGTCACTAGAGTTGAGTTTATGAGCACTGGGTAGACTATTGAGGTTTATGATTTGCTTGGGGCACATAATTTAAAAGAGGTTGCATGTCCTCAAACTGAATTCTTTAATTGCTATCCAACTTGTTTTGTGTTATAAGTGCGACGAGGTGGGGAATTGAACTATAAGTCTCTATTATGGAGGCGTGATTACTTGATTAGTAGACCACATGGGCTTCTCTAACTACTATACGCCTTTTTAACACAGACCAACACGTTGCATCACGATACCTCTAGTACTACCTATGCCATTTGTCATATGGTTTGTAGCATACATATAAGGGAAATAATGTATGGGATCATATGTTCAACCCTAATAGGTGTTGCATAGCTATTTAGTTAATACTTGTTTTCTACCCTAGCTTGTTTTTGTTGCTTTGTTTTGTTCTTCAGTTAGTATTTGGTAAAGATATGGCGGACCTTTATGTTGGGAGTGTAAATGGAGTTGATCTAGTGGGGTGGGTACTGGGTAGCAACATCTCCACCTTCTTTCACTTGATAGAGTATGGTAAATTTCTATGCGACATACATACGACTTTCAACTATTACAAAAATCAAATAATTTACATAGTCATCCAATTTATGATGACCAATTTCAACTTCCTTTATTCAACTAAAAATCTCGATATTTCATATTTTTCTTTAAGTTATCTAACATACAACACCTTCTTTTATAATGGAGTAGGTTACATTTTGAAGAGAATATCACCTCTACAATCATGATTGGAAAGATTAGAAGCCTCTCAATTAAATAGATGTTAATTGAGATTAGGGTTTCATGGTGGAACTACGGCTGCTTTTGATTTTGACCATGTTATATATATGAGATAATAAAAAATCGTCAGTGGAGCTATCAAATTGGGTAAATTTTGTAGTTACAAGTGGAGGCCAAGGGGAAAGGGACATGTAATAGTAAATAGTTATGGCCATTCAATTCTTTTGTCCTGGTACTGTGAGCAATCATATCCCTTTTGATCCCTCTTGGTGCTGTAGGGTACCCTATAGAAAATATCCAATTCAATTCCACCATTCAACATGGCTCCAAATAGTGATGTAATGGGCATCAAATGTAATCACACAAACCATAAAATGTACCAATCAAATGACTCCTCAGGTGACTCAAATGAAAGAGTGACAGTCACTCTAGCTACTCCTAATAGTCTTCTCATAATCACATTGTATATTTGCTTATTTGTCCTCCAACCTTATCCCGAGCCGTCCTACAGAGAGATAAACTTATACCGAGTGCTTACGTCGTTGGGTTTTTTTGCTCTCGTGTGTACTCACTCGTTGGATCGATGTAGTGATATTGTTTCTAGAAATCTCGTTCGTGTGCTCAATTCCACGACGCCTGAGAACATCCGTGAATGAGAGTTGACTATCCGATCATGTCATCAGCATGCGCGCTGATCATCCCGATGTGGACTTTATGAAACCAATCGTATTAGTATTTATCTTGCTATTTTCATCCTCATATCAAAATTATGTCATTGTGGTGGTGAGTCGTTACACTCAAGTGGTCATTGACTTAATCTGTGTTACATAGATGATGATTGACGATAGATCGCTCTTCCTCAAATTCGTATCATCAGTCCTTACAAAATCTAAATTTACACTTCATACAATGCAGATCGATCCAACTCGATAGTTGTACTCGTGACCCCATATCTACAACAAATAATATATAACAAGCTACATTGCACATATAACTTTGTGTGTGGTATAGCTATATGATACTGTAATTAATTTGGTGATTGGATTGATTACATAAATTACTAATTAAGTAACAATAGTGAATAAACTAGTAAAGTAAGCATCATATTCTTTTCAAGGGTGTTTGTATATTGATGAATTCGTTTATGAACAAATTAGTTCGTCGATCTAGTTTAATTTTGTGTGGGTACAACATCTAATAAAAGAGAGTTTCAAAGATCATCGCGATTTACTCCCAATTCACACGGACAATCGCCCTTAAGTCCATATTCCATTGCGAAACACGATGATTCATGGTTAAGTGTTTATAGTCGGTATCAAAGAATTGTTTATTTGTCTTGCATACCTCACACATGCAGTTGTCTGTACCACAACACATTTTCTTATGAACACGAAAAAAATGTGTGTGATCATGAACTCTGAAGAGCTCCATCAAGTAAAAAAAAACGACATTCTAACTATTTGATTCGTTAATTACATGCCTAAACTTGATATTTGATAGTCCATGAAACTCACGAATCCACATGTACTATTCGACCCAGGTGTACCTTGAATTAACTGGTAGCCCGCCCATAAACCATTCATAAAAATGTTGGAATTATGGACTTGATTAGCCTAAAAATCCAAATCATTTATACTATGTTTGGCAACAAGGGGGGTGCAAGTTCGAGGGGGGTGCAAGTTGAGGGGTAAATTGTTGGGGGGTGCAATTTGGTGGAGGGTGTAAGTGGAGGGGTAAATTGTTGTTTGGATGAAAAAGTAGGGGGTGCAAATAAAGTAAAAAGTAAGTAATTATATTATTATAAAATAGATTTATCAATTTATAAAATATTATCACAAAATAAGAACATGAAAATTCAATATGTAATAATAATAAATAATAAATAAAAATAATTTTAATAAAAATAATTATTATATAATAATGCTCAAATATAATTATTTATAACAACAATAATAATCATTGGTCGAGCAACCTCGAAACTCAAAATCCAACTTGTAACTGGTCATCCTAAAGAGGTTCTCGTACCTAACTTTAAATTGAATATGGTCAAACTTAGTCAAACACGTTCGAATCTGTAAGTTTTAACTACTTATTAAAGTACATCGAGTTAACTAAACTGTTCCTCTCTATCTTTTCAACAAACGCTTCTTATCTCTAATTTTCAATGCAAATTCGGGTCAACTAAGAGATATCGATTTGACTAGGCGAACATTGACAAACTTGCTCTCTGAATCAAATGGTCAACCCCAAACAACTTCTACACTAATATAGATATAAGAAAAAATTAATAATATTAATTATTATGTAATTATAATCTAATTAAAAATTCATAATTCCCCTCCTCCCCCTTCCCCCTCCCTTCCTTCCTTCCCTTGCACCCCAATTTGGGGGGTAAACCGAAATAGTGAATTTACGCTCACGTTTTGCACCCCCTACTGTTACAAAATAACCAAACGGGGTAAACACCTTGGAACTTGTGTTTACCCTTCCATTTACACCCCTTCCCAAACATAGTTAATGTTAGATTCCTCGCATTGAAAAGAAAATTAAAGAAGAATAAATCTCAGGTGCTAGGCAATGAAAGCCGTTTTAATTAATTCCTCTCTGTCACAACTCATAATTAACAATTAATAACTAACCAATTACAAATCTCGCCGGGCCGTTACGTTCCGTTGCAACCTCATTCCCTCCGCCGTGATAAAGTTCCTGCCGGTTTACTCTTCATTCCCGGCGATGAAATTTGTCCAGAACTAGCACTAGAAGAGCAGAAGAAGAACAAAAAACCACCACACTCTCCCTCTCCAGTGTTTTTTCTGCTGTTTCGTTCGGTTTCCCTTTTCCTTCCTTTTTTTTTTCTCCTCCGCAGACAAACGGCGCACCTCTCCGCGCTGGCAAAAGATTCCCCCCTCTTTTCCCTAGAAAGAAACTTCAATTCAATTTTCTCGAGAAACAAACACTCCCTTTCCATTGCTTCTCTCTTTCTCCGTTCTGGGCTTCTGGCCTTCTCCTTCAATCCAGCTCAATCACAGTCAAATCATGCTTCTTCTTCTTCAGTTGCTCTTCTCTCTCACCTAACCCACTATTTTTTTTTATCCTCTCTCTCTTCCTTCGTTCTCACTTAAACCTAAAGTATAAGCTAAAACCCACCCCCCAATTCCCCCATTTCCTTTCATTTACCCCTTTTCTTTAATTCCAATTCGGGATTTTTTTCTGGGGTTTTCGTCGATGGGGTGCGCCGGCTCCAAGCTGGACGATCTCCCGGCGGTGGCGCTCTGCCACCACCGGTGTACCTTCCTCAACGAAGCCATCGCCCAGCGGTTTCTGTTGGCGGAAGCTCATCTCGGGTACGTGTATTCGCTCCGGGGAGTCGCGGATTCCTTGCATCATTTCATGGGGCAGGATTTCGGCGGTGGGTTGGAGTCTCCGAAGCTCAATTTGCCTCCCAAGGGGAAAGGTGTGAGTGTCGAGGATGTTGGGAATTCGACGAAGAAGGTTAGTGGTGGCGGGGGAGGCGGCAGGGGTAAAGGTCATTCCCACTCTCACTCCGGTTCGCATCTTCATTTTATACCCGATTCGGACGAGGACGAGGAGGAGGAGGATGAGGACGACGATGATGATTCGGATTCGCATCTTCACCTCTCGGATCACTCGTCTCCCTTGCATAATCACGCCGGTGGCGGCGGCGGTGGCGGTGGCAAGCATGTGAAGTTTATGAGTTCTGATTATATGCCTATGTCTGTGGATCAAAGGCCTTTTCCCGCCGGCGGCGGTGGGTATCCGGGTGGCAGAGGCGGGTACCCAGAAGGTGGAGGCGGATACCCGGAAGGTGGATTCGGGTATCCGGGAGGTGGAGACGGGTTTCCCGGTGGATATCCGGGCGGCGGCGGTGGATATCCGGGTAGCGGAGGTGGGTATCCGGGCGGCGGGGGCGGGTTTTTCCATATGAATTATATGAAGAAAAAGGGGACAGCTTCGGTGGTTTATAAGCAGAGGCCGGCGGCTGCGGAGACCGTTCGTTTCGGTGAATCTTCTTCGTCTTCTTCTTATTATTCGCAGCCTAGTAACAATTCTTCTTACCCTGTTGATAATTCGAGCGCTTATTCGTATTTCGGGTACCCGAATAATGGTGGTGCCGCCTCCGGCGGCAGCAGTGGAATGGCTGGTTACTACGGCTCTCCGCCTGCTCATGGATCTTCATCTCTGCCTCCCCAGGGTGCTTCCTCGTCGAAGCCGCCGCCAGCTCCGCCATCGCCACCGAGAGCTTCAGCTTGGGATTTCTTGAATCCGTTTGGGAGTGACGAGAAGTACTATCCATCTTACACTCCCAGCAGGGATTCCAGAGAAGTGAGGGAAGAAGAAGGGATTCCTGATTTGGAGGACGAGGATTATCAGCACGAAGTAGTTAAAGAAGTACACGGAGATCCCAAATATGTTGCTGAAAGTAAGGGCGGTGGTGGTGGTGGTGGTCAGAGTAATTATGAGAAATCGGCGATGATGGATGATGATGAGATGGAAGCTAAGTCTAGTGGTGGTGGTAGTGGTGAGGCAGAGGCGTCGCTCTACCAAACAAGGGCTAGTGGTGTGTCAATGGAGACTAATGGACCTGAGTATGAGGTGCACGTAGTGGAAAAGAAAGTTGTTGATAAGGAGAAGCCCGATAAGAATGGCAATGGCGGCGGGTTTAAGGGTCGAGGAGGGTTGCGGGATGTGTCTCAAGTTGCTGTTGAGATCAAGATCCAGTTCGAGAGGGCTTCTGAGTATGGGAATGAAATAGCGAAGATGCTCGAAGTGGGGAAGCTCCCTTACCAGCGTAAACATGGTAGGTTGTGTAATCATACTTGTAGAGTTTACTTACTGACTGTAATTCTTTCTGTTGAACTTTCTGCTACATGTGTGGGAGTGTCTTTGTGCTATTAAATGATTTCGGCTGTCTGTTTTGACTGGAAGTTGGTTACTTTTGTGGGCAGTTTCAAAGAAGTTGCAAGGTGTTACTCCATCATCATTATCGTTGTTGTCTTCACAGCCACCTGCTTCCAATAGCTTGGAGGCTTCATCCTCGAACGATAATGCTGGTCCAGCTTTCCTGGAGATGGATGAAGATCTGGCCTTCAGATCAAAGAATCTTTCCTCTACCTTGCAAAAACTGTATCTTTGGGAGAAGAAGCTCTATACTGAAGTGAAAGTACGTTTGCTTATTCCTTGTGTCATTAGCTTGGTTGGCATAGAATTGTTCTGTAGGGGCTATCTGTCAGATTCGTCAAATGTCCTGCAAGTTGATCTCTTTATGCGGTGCGAGCTCATTTTCTTCTCTTCTTTTTCAGGCTGAGGAGAAAATGCGGGTAGTTCATGACAGGAAATGCCAGAAGCTGAAACGTTTGGATGAGAGGGGTGCGGAAGCTCACAAAATAGATGCTACACGAACTTTGATAAGGAGCCTGTCGACTAAAATAGGAATTGCGATGCAGGTTGTTGACAAGATCTCTGTCACGATAAACAAGATTAGAGATGAAGAGCTATGGCCGCAACTGAATGATTTGATTCTCGGGTATATTTACTTTCTCAGGGCCTCTTTATGTGTGTTCCGTGCATGACTTGCGAAATTCAATCCGAACTCAGAGTATATTTGTCCAGAAGATATGATAGTTCCATTCCTTCTTGCCTTGCGTGATGAATATATGCATTACAATCGGTATATATTTGTATTCAGGCCTGTTGATTTTTAGCACATTTCCGGTACAATTCCTTGCCATCTTGCTATCTAATTAGTTAGGTTGGTAGTTTTTAGGCTTACACTGTGCACTTACCAGCGAGACCGAGCAAGCCTTACTTTTAATGCATCACTTTCCTCCCTCTATACTTGATTTCGAGAAGCAAAGGTTCCTTGGTAAGTATTCGATTCATGGGTTTCTAACCTCCATTTGCCATCTGCAGGTTGAGTAGAATGTGGAAAAACATGCTTGAGTGTCACGAAATTCAGTGCCAAGCAATAAAGGAAGCCAAAGGGTTTGGTCCTATTGGATCTGGTAAGAAGCTCAGTGATGATCATCTCGAAGCTACAATGCAACTTGAGCATCAGCTGCTTAATTGGACTTCCAGTTTCACCAGTTGGGTCGGAGCTCAGAAGAGTTATGTAAAAGCCCTAAATAGTTGGCTTGTAAAATGCATCCTCTATGAACCAGAAGAAACGCCCGATGGCGTGGCTCCGTTTTCACCTGGGAGAATGGGTGCACCTCCCGTGTTTGTGATTTGTAATCAGTGGGCACAAGCTATTGATAGAATATCTGAGAAGGAAGTGGTTGACTCTATGCGCCTCTTTGCATCGACGGTGTTTAAATTGTGGGAGCAAGATAAGGAAGAGATGCGAAGCAGAATGATAACTAACAAGGATTTGGAAAGGAAAGTTAGGAACTTGGACAGAGAGGATCAGAAGATACAGAAGGAGATCCAAGCATTAGACAAGAAAATTGTTTCGGTTTCTGGAGATGGCGGCGATGGTTTGTCTGTTACTGGAAATGTTGTGTATCAGAGTGATACTAGCAATGGCAGCCTGCAAGGTAGCTTACAAAGGATTTTCGAGGCTATGGAGAGGTTCACAGCAGAGTCTGTGAAATCTTATGAGGATCTTGTGCAACGTAGTGAAGAAGAAAGTAGAGCTGGAGAACATGCTGCTTCTTAATCATCACATGGTTCAACCACATACAGCTTTATGCAAACTTCACTTGAAGCAGAAGACTTCGCCACCTTGTCACGTGATTTCGTGGTGAGATATGTCTCGTCCCTTCTGCTGCTGAAACTCCTATGTGAAAGAAGATTCTGAAAAAGCTGCAGTTGTTCCATGTGGGCACCTAGGTTTGATGCTGTTTGAAGCTCAGAAGAATGGCAATTTGGAACAGATGGGGATCGTGCTGCTGTTCGGAAAACTGAACTGGGCTATCAGACCTGGTCTGTAAGTGCCAATTCCTTCCTCTATTGGATCAGAATTGGCATAGGCCTTATAGCTCCTGTAGGGATATCATCACATCTGACACATCTCGTCGTGCATTTACACGGCTGAGAAGGGTCATAAACAGGGTTCGCTCTGGGGAAAAAAGACAATGCTGAAGATGCAAAATCTGAGCAAGAGCAGAACTAGATTCAATTTTGAACTGAGGATATTTGGTTGAGTTATAGGATCAGTGGGCAGTCCCAGAATGGCGCAAGTCTTGGAAAATGCCCACAGATCAGATATATATGGTAAATAACTTAACTTTGATTTTCTTCTTGGACTTTTTTCGGAATATTTATTACATTAAATTCTGTATAGATCTTTTCTTCTCCCTGATATAGCTCTTCTCATAGCAAAGGGTCTCTGTGAGGCTCTAATTAGAGGTTCTTAACATCCATCATTTCGTGTTGCTCCTGCAATTCGAATCCTGTATCACCACTGAACTAGAGAGACTAGGAAGGTGAATGTACCATTGTAATCTTGTTGGGGATGGCAATCGAAGCAGAGAAACTAGATGATTTTTACATATCATTCATACATGTCTCTTCTGTGCTATGAGAATGATTAGCTGTGTGGGTTGTGATTAGGACACAGTTTGTTTTCTACTAATCTTGTACTATTATTAGCTTGGAAGAGTTTTGCTTAGAGTGATTGCAACAATGATGACAAAATATCTTTCTGGCTTTGGGAACACAACAGCTCACAGTACTCTGATTTGGGGATATAGCAAAGATAGGGCTAAACTATTTGTAATGATTATCTGTTGGCAATAACTGTGGGAAGTTGAAGGTGGTTTAACCTCTTTCAGCATAGGAGGGTTATGATGGTGTGAACTGAATCGAGTTTTGCAGGACTTTTTTTGTATGCCATTTGTGACAGCTGAAATGAAAACAACAGCTTTCCTTTGTTTGTTTTGGTTTGTGATAGGTCTAGGTAGGCCAGAGGATCTTGCACGCTTCTTCCTCTCTAATCTCTTATCTCTCCCAAACCTTGTTTGGGCCTTTGGGGAAATGACTGTAAAAAGTGATGCTCATCCTGAATGGTTTTTTGTGGGCTAGAGAGAGGGTGGGTTGATGTGGAAATTGTGGATGGTAACATGTCAATTTAGGCGAATGGTGTGTTTTAAAGGGTATTCGAGATTGTATAAGTTTCATTTATTTGAGATAAGTTATACTTTCATTAAGATACATCACGGTATATCATATGAAAGAAGTTTTCGTCTTGCTTTTATCAGTTCTTTTCGATGGTTGAGATATGGTTTTCTTGTGCTCATTGTGCGTCGGTAATTGTGAGTAAAAAATGGGAATAAACAACATTAGGAATATTATGTCCACCAATTTGAAGACAATGGACCCTTAGAAATGTAAGGGTAATCATATAGCAAATCATGTGTTGCATGCTCTCCAACTTAACACATTTTCCGTGCAAGTATAAGCAAGTTAAACGAGGGTAAGCGAGTCAATTAACATAAAACGAGTATCAAGAACGTCTTATAACTGTAATTTGTGTCCACTAATTTTTTTTTTTTTTTTTTTTTGGGGAATGTCCACTAACTCTTAAATAACAAACATAGAAATTTTCACGAATTCATTAGCAACAAGATAGCAAAAATATAAATAGATATATCAAAGATTCAACTATAATCACAACTCCTATTGAAATGACCCCAAATGCTTGAACATAATGTAAAATGACCTTTTAAGTATGAAACATAACTCCTTTCCCCCTAGAATTCAACACTTTATAGATACTTGTTCACTAAGGATTGGAAAGAATGATTGGTTCTCAAACAACTCTACTGATTCTCAGAACCTACACCTGAAAATTCCAAAATTCCAAATGATTGCATAAGTGGCGTTTGACTTTTGCAAAAGCTGGTTTGTGAAAATTCCAATTTCCAGAATGGTAAATTGCTACTTTTGTCTAGATGGCAAACACACTGGATTTTTTTTTAAAAAAAAAGCAAAGACAAGTGTCTTAATAATCTTAGAATGTTATGGTTCTTGGGGTTTAGTGGCTTTGTTCTTTACCTTAAATTAAGTTTTGATGTCTTCCTTTATGTGGGGAAAAGAAACCATATTTGACATGTTTCTTTCAATGTGGGATGGTAAAAAAGAGAAATCTATCATCACCTTCCTTCAACCTTGTGTTTTCCACCTTTTTTTTACACAAATCTTTCTGTTTTTGGCTCAATAATGGAATAGAAAGATCCTTGAGATGCCTTATTTCAACACAAATTGCTGTTTTATTTCCTTAATTCTATCAAGAACATATGCTTGTTGGATTCCATTATTTATCAACATTTTCTCACTTTCGAATGATAAAAATGGGAAAATATAGGTGAGAAAATATAGAATTTTCATTCTAAATTTCATATAATTAGCATAGGAGTTGATACGAGACATGTACATACACATAATCACTAAAAATGATCAAAATTGTTCGTCATCTAGATGCTATTTTTTTTATTATCTAATTCATCCAGAAGAGAGATTAGAGTTTAGACAATGATTTATAATGTGAAATCAGAGTAAACGATATTTGTATTATCAAAGACAACAACTATAGTAGTATATGCAAACATTTTATGAGTGGTTGGATGCTTATGCAATGGCGGAGCTAGGTTATATTCAGGACTTTGGAATACATGTAAATTCACATGTAAAATTTGTACAAATTTAGGAAATGGACTAGTTTCTAAGGCCTTAGTCCTCCCTCACCAATTATCACGATTCAAAGTCACCTTTCTTCATTTAGATTTCTGGTTCCGCCACTGAACTTCTGTGGTACATTTCTTTTATGTTGGGTGTATTGTTTATCCTAAAACTCTAATCATCAACTTTTAAAGTTTATACACCACATTTACTCAATTGATGATATAACATAAAATTTTACTTACATATTTATATTTATTATGAATATTACATTAGATGAATCTATAACGTTATATCGAATAAGTTTCAAAAGCACTTATAGTATAATACTTGATTTAGATACAAATTCATATGTTATTGATAATTGTATACATTTGAAAGATTATGCATATTTTTGAAGCGAGTTAACACCAATTATGAGGTTGAATATCCAAATATGTGCCCATTTTATATGAAAATGAATTTGGAATTTAATTTTAATCAGTGCAATTGGGTCACTACTGTAAAAAACAGATGAAAAAAATGGCAAAAAAATAAATGAAAGAAGGGGGAAAACAGCTGAATGGTCTGAAGGAACAAAACAGAGAGCACAAAAATAAGAAGAGAAACTGTAGAAAGAGAGCCATTTTCCCCCCTTTCCCCCCTTTCCACCTTCTTCTTCCCTCTTCTTCTTCACTTTCCCTAATCTTTTTTCCATTTCCCTCACAACCCCTCTTCCCCAACTTCGCCAAAGCTTCCAACTTCATCGCCATCACCGGGAAAAGAAGAAGCTTGAAAAAGAAGAGAAAGGGACAAAAATTACACACAGAAGGACTTCATCATGGGCTGCTGTGCTTCTTCCTTTCTAGCAGAAACCCACCCAGAAAAGGACCATCTTAACAAGCCCCAGGTCCTCCACCCTCCTCCTCCGTCGGCTGTCATCGATTCTCCCGCCGCCGCAGCCGGCGGCGGCGGAGTTGGAGGAGGAGTCCCTTCTTTCTCGGAATTCTCCTTCTCCGACCTAAAAGCTGCCACCAACAACTTCAGCTCCGACAACATAGTCTCCGAGAGCGGGGAGAAGGCGCCCAATCTTGTCTACAAAGGCCGCCTCTCCAACCGGCGGTGGATTGCCGTGAAGAAGTTCACTAAGATGGCTTGGCCCGATCCTAAGCAGTTTGCGGTACTCTTCTGTGGTAAAATGATTGTGCTCAAGCTCGTGTCAGATTGTTATTATGAGCTGATTTTGTTGTGGTGGTTTAATTTTTGTAGGAGGAAGCTTGGGGAGTTGGGAAGTTAAGGCATAAGAGGATGGCGAATTTGATAGGGTATTGCTGTGATGGGGATGAACGGCTGCTTGTTGCCGAGTATATGCCAAATGATACGCTTGCCAAACACTTGTTCCATTGTACGTGTTGCTTGCTTCTCTTTGTTTTCCCCCCCTTCTTTTCAATGTGATTGGTTGATGTTTTTGATCACTGTGTCCATTGTGTTCACAATGCTTGATAGTTCCTATGTTGATGATGCATATAGTTTATGAGCTGCCAACTTATGGAATGTTTGTTGAATGTTGATGCTCTCTTGCTTTTGATGTACAAATGGAACGCTAGGATTAGTCTGCCTTCTGCTTCGAAGATGTGTTGAAGTTACTAAGCATATTAGCTAAGCACTGTGATTGCCTGATGAGTAGGGAAAATGTGTCGATCGCTAAGAGGCAAAGGGTGTAGCTTTTTACAAAACAATACTATAGAGGTAGTGAGTTAGTTGAATTAGATGCATATCTGGAATGGATCAACTTGAATATTTCACTTTTACAAAGTCTCCTATTGAGTTTCCGTTCATTCTTCGCAGGGGAAAATCAAACTATAGAATGGGCCATGCGATTAAGGGTTGCGCTCTACATAGCTGAAGCCCTAGACTATTGCAACTCTGAGGGTCGTCATTTGTACCATGATCTGAATGCCTACAGGGTACTCTTCGATGAGGTATTCATTTCTCTTCCTGAAACTTGAACGTCACCCTATTCCTGCAATCTCTCTTTGCTTTAGGTTTATGAGCTTGTTGTATGATGATTGGGTTTTATCATTTCCTTATATGGGTTTTATAGGATGGAGATCCCCGCCTTTCCTGTTTCGGCTTGATGAAAAATAGTAGGGATGGGAAGAGTTATAGTACAAACCTGGCCTACACCCCTCCTGAGTATCTAAAGAATGGTAATTAAAGTCCTACAATTTCAGCAAATGCCCATTTTATATTGTTGTACTTCACTTTGGGATCTTCATCTGCATTCACTGTGTGAAAATTTCAGGAAGGGTAACTGCAGAAAGTGTTACTTACAGTTTCGGCACTGTCCTCCTTGATTTACTAAGTGGAAAGCATATTCCTCCAAGTCATGTAAGTGGCTTACATTTAAGTGTCTGTTGGGAAGTTTCATATGTTGCATATTCTCTTGCCCGTCATTACAAGGTTGCAGTTTACATGATCTCAAATTAGAACTTGCTACTCAATATGAGTGATTTGGTTGATTGTTTGTTTCATTAGCAAGGAACTCCCTGCAAAATTTCCTCCAGCATAACATAAGAAAGCTTTGGGCATTCAAATTCTTAGTTCATATAGGAGTAACTGTGCACCTCCCGTACTTTTATACTTTCATGAATTTGATGGGTAAGAGTTTTATGATTCTACATGTGTCCAGGCTCTTGACATGATAAGAGGAAGAAACATAATTCTCTTGATGGATTCTCATTTGGAAGGGAACTTCTCTACAGAAGAAGCCACTGCAGTTGTTGGTCTTGCCTCTCAATGTTTACAGTATGAACCTAGGGAAAGGCCTAGCACAAAGGAACTTGTTGCGACACTTTCTCCTCTGCAGCCAAAGCCTGATGTAAGGGAGTTTATTCTTTTTAACTTTTTAACTTCAAATCAAATCATCTATGTTATTCTTGATTTTGTGCTTTACGGTGCTGCAATGAGCAGTTATTGATCTTATGCATGCCTCAACAATCAATATGGGCAAAGACAATATATCTGTTGATCCCATCTTAGGAAACTACTAGTCTGTCAATGGAAGAATCAGTTCTTGTTGTAGTACGACACTGTTAGTGTTGTGATATATGATCCACGATTGAACCTCTCCCAACAACTCGAGTTATTGGGATCAACTGGTTCTTGACATGGTATCAGAGCCTTCTGTGACCGAGAGGTCTTGTGTTCGATTCCCGATGACCCCCATTTGTTAAGCACATGGTATTCTTGTCTTCATACCTGTGCAAACTTCAAGTCCTTGTGAGTGGCTTTCGTTTGAGGGGGCGTGTTAGTGTTGTGATATATGATCCACGATTGAACCTCTCCCAACAACTCGAGTTATTGGGATCAACTGGTTCTTGACAGACACATCACTCAGAAGTTAAGCAACCTATTAAGTAGTACCATTAATTTTTTGAATAAACCGTTATTCCTCCCTAGTGGCACAATAAGAAGTTAAAGATCTCAAACAATTTCATGTGATTTTTATGGAATCATGTTCATTCCCGTTGTAAGATCCAACAAAACCTTCTGTCTACAATTTTCTTTCAGAGACAGATACTTTTTCATTGAAGACTCTATTTAAACTTCATTGTACTACAAGTCTTTCTTTCCCGCTTCAAGTTGGATATTACTTGATTGTTAGTTCTTCAATATAGTCTCCAGTACATTGTGAAGGAAGCAAGTCATTTCCTTATGGTTTCTGTCCATGCTACTCAAGTTGACAAAACTGCTCATGTTTCCCTGATGTTGCAGGCTCCATCGTACGTGATTCTCGGAATACCCAAACACGAGGAGGCACCACCGACTCCACAGCGTCCTCTTTCACCCATGGGAGAGGCCTGTTCAAGAATGGACCTCACAGCAATTCACCAGATATTGGTAATGACGCACTACAAAGACGACGAGGGTACAAATGAGGTACTTAGCTTAGTCAGGAATATATAATCTCGCACATTGTCTTCTAGAGTGTATTGATCTTTTCAATCAATGACCCTTATGCCTCTTTGTGCTTCAGTTGTCATTTCAAGAGTGGACCCAACAAATGAGAGACATGCTGGAGTCTAGAAAGAGAGGAGACTTTGCATTCCGGGACAAAGATTTCAAAGCCGCCATCGATTGTTACTCTCAGGTTTTACCATCTCCAACTTTCCAAACCTGCATAGCTGCCCAATTAGATGTCTCCTAATTCCATTCTTTTCTGCTGCAGTTCATAGATGTAGGAACTATTGTTTCGCCCACTGTTTTTGCAAGACGTAGTCTTTGCTATCTGCTGTGCGATCAACCAGACGCTGCCCTTCGAGACGGAATGCAAGCGCAGTGCGTTTATCCAGATTGGCCTACGGCGTTCTACATTCAGTCCGTCGCACTGGCCAAGTTGAACATGCACACTGATGCAGCCGACATGCTGAATGAAGCTGCATCTCTAGAAGAAAAGAAGCATAGAGGAGGAGGGAAAGGTTCATGAGAAGAATAAGGAACTTGTGTATAAGCAACGGAAAGGGTAAAAAAAAGATCCATCTCCAAGCGTGTTGTTGTAAAATGGCGAGCCGAGGATTGGATTTGTTGATTGATTATAAGAGAAAGTAGGGAGGGAGGGAAAAAGAAAGGGATTAGAATAGGAGAATACTTAATTGGATGGATTGGTCTGCAGTTTGGCTCCCCCATTTTGATGGGGTAGAGAAGAGGAATTAAGTGAGGTAGTTTGTCAATGTTGTAATTATAGATGAAAATCTGCTGCTTTGTACATGCCTGTTGTAGTTATGAATTATGATGGTATTATCTCCTTGTGGAATTGATCATTTGACTAGTAATTTCAAGTGGAACATTCCTTGGTATGCAGGGAAATGGATTGGTAACTAAGGATCTTTTCTTGTAGAAATGTTATAGTTGTAAGTTTACATTCTTTTTTGGACATGTGATTGCATTTGGTCACACAAATTGTTGAAACCCACATCTTGGTTACAACTGGCTCTTTTTCTCTTAAAGTGAAGCCCAAAATAACTCCTTTCAGTTCTTGAATATCTGCAGTGGCCGGTGGCAGTGCTTCAAAAGGATGCCAAGAACTAGCAGAAACAAGGACAAGTAGAAATGGTGAAAGTGAAATCACAGTGGCAGTAGATTATGGTTCTTCTGGTTTAAAATGAAATCAAAAGTTTCTTGAAAATCATGCCTATTGCCTAACAACTTGCTTAAACGAGATTTTAAGATCAAGTCTGAATAGGTAATGAGCTGGAAAATACTGGTTAGGAAGAGAACATTGAATAGACATGGCTGAGGTGGTTGTGTTTTTCCAAATCGAAATCATAGCCATATTTCCATTCAACTCCTTGATATACATTGTATAATTTGATTCCTTGTGTCTCCTCTAACATATAGGTTAGGTGATGCATATGATAAAAATATCATATTAAGTTGCATGCATTAACATGATTGATGTACAAATGGAAGGCAAGATCCACCTAATCTGGGTTTCTCAACGTGGTTTCATTATTGGCTTTGGACGTGTGATGACTAATGATTACTAATTATCGGCAAAGGTTAATCTGTTTAATTTTTATCAGCTCTTAATGTTTACTTATCTAAAATGATCCCATGAGCTGTTTTCACCGTCATGTTTCTCTTGTATGGACAAGGTAATTAAAGTAAGGAAGTGCAGGGTGATAGATAGAGCAATGAACAAAAAGAGACATAATTTGATAGGAACTTGGTAACCATGTATATTTATGGATGTCAGTATCAAAATTTTCTATACAACTTGTACATGTATTGTTTTGCTGATGTAACTACAGATTGTGGATATTGAGAATCGAGGCTCTCGTTTTGATCAAACGCCTGAAGAGGCTCTCAACTCCTTCCTCGAGATCTTGAATGCATGGCTGCAAGTTCTTGAGTTGAACTTGGACCTCTTCACCTGAGTTGTTCATCTTCAAGGCAGCATCGACATCTGAGAATTCATTCTCGGTTGCTGCTACTGCTGCAACCCTTTTAAATAATGACCAGCTGCTTGGCTTGGAGCTCGTTTGAGAAATGAATGTCAACAAGCACTCCAAAACCTTAACAACAGCAGATTCAGCTTCCTTCAATGTGGAGACGGTCTCAACGTTGTTGGATGAAGTGGATTTCTTGCTATCCATACCCTTCAAGACCTTCTGGACTGCTTTGATTACATTCTTCCTAGATTTCATGTATCTTCTGGTTTCTCCTTCCAAACCATCTTGCCTTCTGCGAATGGCGGATTGAAGCTCAGCGACCGACTCTTTCATTTGGGACAAGGCATCCTTGGCTGTGTTGCACAAATCCAAGATCCTCAAAGATCCATCCAATAGCTCGTTGAAGCAATTTTGGTCATTGATCAAGGCTTGCTGGGTAGTTGGAAGTTGGAGCAACTGGTCAACACAATCATACACATCCTGGAGACCATTTAGATTTCGGCCTATGGATGATGATGATGTGGAAGCAGCTTGAGATTGTCTCAACCTGCAGACCTGCTCGTCGATTTCTGAAACTAGAGGGTGTGATCCTGTAGGCAAACTGTTGGACCTAGCATGGAAAGAGAGAGCTGCCATTTTTTCTGGTTTTCTTGGTGAGTATGAGAGTAAAGATGAGGGAAAGGTTTTGAAGTTCAATAGAAGAGTTGAGAGAGATGTTTTGCAATGCCTTCCTTGGCATCCAGAGTTTGTTTATATAGATGGTGAAGAAATGAAGCAGGCGAGGGGACACAAAGAGACAGTAGGAATCAAAGCATTTCAAAATTTCCATGTGCACATGTGGTTTATGCATAGGATTTGTGATTTGAATCCACCACTGTATCAGCATTGTGTCTGTCAACTGTCCCTTTCCTACCATGTAATCCAACTCATTGGCATCCATCACCAAGGTAGGCAAGATCCATGCATTCTGCTTCACCTGCTACATCATTAAAAAATGGAGCTGTTTCTACCCCAAAAAAATGGAGCTGTCATCTCTCTAGTGCATTGAAAATTATGTGAAACAGCTTACTCGTGCATCACCTTCCTTGTTTGTCGTTTGATATCCAACCATAAATAGTCAAAATGAGATACCAAGAAGGCAGCAGAAGGGAAACTTTATAAGGCGCCACTGAGGAATATGTAGATGCAATGCAACTCTCAAACTAGAACCACCAGATGCAGCAGGCTAAAACAAACAATAAGTCTGTCTCATCCTGTTTGAATCATCATTGTCATTTGATCTACAGACCAAAAACAAAAGAAGAACAGTTGCTGTTGATGTTCATTGCTGGTTTCTCTGAGCTGGGAAAACCATAACCAAGTGGCAAGTAGAGATGAACTTGCTAGAGCAGATACTCTGCATGCCTAACTGAGCAGACAACATTTCAAGCCAAAGTCTATCGGTGATCCATTCATGTGAAGGATTTTGCAACCTGAAGCTTAAGGTATCGATCAGTGCATTCAATTCATCATTTCCAGAATCTCTCAACCTACAAAATCATGCCTATTGTATGGATTCATTAGAAAGTAGTTCTTCAATGGTCTACACGAGGGGCCTGGTAATTGACTAATTGTAAATGTTCCCTTATTGATTAAACGCTTATTAAATGTGTCCTTAATGGTATCAGTTTAAGCTTTAATCAAATGCATGGGATAACATATTGCAGTGTGGATGGGGGGCAAGATCCAGTTAGTTAGCTTCCAATCTTCCCACCACCTTGATCAATTAATATACTTAACGATAGCACGATGAATGCCTAATCGTATTCCCTATACTGTCATCTTCTGCATAATGCCAGTTCATAGCCACGAGCTAGCTCCTAGAACCATGCTAAATGTTTGCTAAAACCTGATGCAGTATGGTATAAAATAGTCATAATTATGAACAGCATGCTGCATGGATTAACAGGGTTGTTTCACTGATGGAGGGCAAGATCCACTAATCTGGCTTCCTCCAACGTGTTATAAATGATGCAAATTGAAGGGAAAATCGTGTTAATGATCTTTTGACATTATTAATTTGAGATTTATGAGCCTCCCCATGTGAATTCCCTTTAATAATTCACCAGCTTTCAAACATAGAGTTAGAGGTTAATCAAGATAGTTAAACTATCTGTAATGATGCCACTACTCATTTTAACTGTCAATTTCCTCACATTTGCAGAAAGGTAAATAAATAGGACAATGACAAATATTAATCTGTTTAATGTTCATCAGCTCTTAATTTTAACTTAACTATCTGAAATGATCCCATAAGCTGTTTCCACTGTCATGCTTCTCTTGTATGGGAAAGGTAATTAAAATGGTCAGTAAGAAAGTGCAGGGTGGTAAGATGGAGCAATGAACTGAAAGAGACATAATTTGCTACGAAGTTGGAGACCATGTATATTTATGGATTTTAGTATCAAAAATTTTCTATACAACTTGTACAAGTATTGTTTTGATGATGTAACTACAGATTGTGGATATTGAGAATGGAGGCTCTTGTTTTGATCAAGCGCCTGAAGAGGCTCTCAACTCCTTCCTCTAGATCTTGAATGCATGGCTCCAGGTTCTTGAGTTGAACTTGGACCTCTTCAGTAGAGTTGTTCATCTTCAAGGCGGCATCGACATCTGAAAACTCATTCTCTGTTGCTGCTACTGATGCAACCCTTTTAAATAATGACCAGCTGGTTGGCTTTGAGCTTGATTGCGAAATGAATGTCAACAAGCTCTCCAAAACATCAACTACAGCAGATTCAGCTTCCTTCAACATGGAGACGGTCTCGACATTGTTGGATGAAGTAGATTTCTTGCTAACCATACCCTTCAAGACCTTCTGGATAGCTTTGACGACAGTCTTTCTGGATTTCAGGTATCTTCTGATTTCTCCTTGCAGACCATCTTGCCTTCTGCGAATAGCGGATTGAATCTCCGCGACTGACTCTTTCATTTGGGACAAGGCATCCTTGGCTGTGTTGCACAGATCCAAGATCCTCAAAGATCCATCCAATAGCTCATTGAAGCAGTTTTGGTCATTGATCAAGGCTTGTTGGGTTGTTGGAAGTCGGAGCAACTGGTCAACACAATCATACACATCCTGAAGACCATTTAGATTCCGGCCTATGGATGACGATGATGTTGAAGCAGCTTGAGATTGTCTCAACCTGCAAACCTGCTCATCGATCTCAGAAACTAGAGGGTGTGATCTAGCAGGCAAACTGTTGGAGCGAGCATGGAAAGAAGCAGCTGCCATTTTTTCTGGTTTTCTTGGTGAATGATAAAGAAGATGTGAGGTAGTTTTTCTGAAGTTGGAATAGAAGGGTTGAGAGAGATGATTTGCAGTGCCTTCCCTGGCATCCAGAGTTTGTGTTATATAGATGGTGAGAGATATGAGGCAGGTCAAGAGACACCAAAGAGACAGGAAGAATCAAAGCATTTCAATTTCTCCATGTGCATGTGGTTTATGCATATGATTTCTGATATGGATCCACCACATTATCAGCAATTGTGTCTCCGAAATGTCCCTTGCCTGCCAAGTAATCCAACTCATTGGCCTCGTTAATTAATTCGACATATATAATAAGATCATTGATGATCAATGCATAGCAGATATCTATGAATTGCAGCGTTGAGTCGTGAAAGGAGGCAAGATCCATGCATTCTGCTGTCATCACTTTAATCATGGAGATTATCATTATTTCTAGTGCCTTGAATAACAATGTCAAACACCCTTCTCGTGCATCACCCCATTGTTTTCCCCCAAACATCACCCTCGTGAGCTGGAGAGTAGTTGTTGGCAAAGAGACAAATACACAGACATTTTCTGACATGGTTGTTTAGATCCAAATCACTCTCACATTTTTCCTCATCTCATTCAGTCATTTATCTATACATGCAAGACAATGTGGTTCCTAGTGTCTCCTTTGCCATCAGCCATAAACAGATGCAAAAGCTTAAGGCAGCAACTTCCTTAAAACTCCAATGAACACAGCAAAATAGGGGGCCATTTCATAAGGCTATGCTGAAACAAGACACTCAAGAAGTCTGTCTCCCGCGTGTTTGAATCATCGCTGTCGTTTGATCTCGCCAGACCAAGAACAGAAAACCCAGTTGCTGTTAAAGTTCATTGCTGGTTTCTTAGCTGGGAAGAGCCATAACAAGGTGGCGAGTAGAGATGGACTCTGCAAGAGCATATTTGCTCTCACTTGCTACTTGCTGGCTGCAACCATTTTTAGCTTGGGAACTAATGACCACCTTCTAGGCTTGGAGCTTTGTTGAGAAATGGAGGAGGGCAAGCACTGCAAAACCTCATCAACAGCTGATTCAGCTTCTTTCAAAAATGGAGGCAGCTCTGTAGATATTTTGATGGGCCTAAATTGGATACACAAGTAATGGACTATAATTGGTGGGGTGCGCCAGGCCCATGCAAGCTTCAGTAGTGGGCTTTCTCCTCCTATAAAAATTAATTTAATATCGTGTGGGCCATTGGCCCACGTATCAGATATTAAACTGATAAGAACAGATACTACACTTGATCTTAGCCAAAAGGCCGAGAAAGGTATGCTTTGCTGTATTACCAGAGCTTCCTTCTTATTCCAAGCCAACTGCTTTCCCAAGCTATTTTAAACGATGTGGTATGAACACAGTGGTCAAAGTCGATAGAAAGGAGAAGTAAAGAACCATATCAATCATCAGATGGGGTTGTAAGCTTCTCTTGTTCACCAGTTTTCTGCTAATTGATTAGTCCTTGTTACATTCTAACTTCAGGTTCGTTCATGTTGGTTCTGTTCTGTTCTCCGTTGTGGAAAACCACCCAAGATCAATGACGAGTTCTTCGATCCAAGGGCGGGATGGTAGTAGTATTTATCAGTAGTTCATCAGTTGGGAATTTGGTGGTTGATGATGATGATGATCAGCAGTCTATAAGACCATTTTCATTTCCTGTTAGCTCCCTCTGACACTACCACCAACCTATTATGAGACAGGCTACAAGAGGTTTGGGAACTCGTAGTGACGGTTGATCTCTGAGTCCTTGAACAAAAAACCACTGCCTTTGTTCATTTCTTGTTCATGAGCTGGGAAACCAACAGGAAAGTGGCTAAGTAGAGAAGTAGATGGTGGGTGAATTTGCAAGTGTTGATGATGCATTGTTGTGCTAGCTCCAGCAGCAGACAACATAACCGACAGAGCCTGGTGCTCATCGTTCGCGTATGAAGGGTGTGCAAAGCCAGGGTCTAAAATCCATCTGCAGCAGGCAAGTGATCAACTAGAGCCCTTCCACTTTGAACATCCTGAATGCTTAATGGTGACAGACCAGGAATGAAGACCCAACAACAGGTGGTTGCATTAGAGTTTAGACTATGATCTGATCGATAATGTATCAAAGATAACAAAGCTTGAATCAATTTCTACAAACTAAACATAATTGCAGAGAAGGCATCATACACCTGATTAGCCTAATTGTGTAAGGATAGGAATTATCAACCATTGAAGGCACCAACGTCCAACAGTGTCCAAATTAACCCTCCCAAAGACATTGCTGAGATGGTTGGTAGGCTTACAGATCTTAGGAGCTTTACAATGTTTATGGTTGTGCTGTCACTGAACTCAATGACATTTCTTCAGAATCACAGCCAACTTCAATGCATCCCCGAGTAACCAAAAACCACCTAGTGATGCACAAAATATTTGTACGAAGCAAGAAATATGTTGGAGCAAATAAGTGATTCATAGTTCATATAATTTAAGCATGGTTCCAAGCAGGGCGAATGCGAGAACAACAAGGAACCCAAAGCAAGAAAATGTACAAGTTTTATTGCAGATGATGATACAAGATACCAGAACTCAAGCGTCAGCCATTCTACAACGTGGCCAACTCAAATCAATCGGCTACTCTTTTCCTTGTGGTCGTTGAGTGCCGAGAGTAATTGGATCTACCGATGCATCAGAATGTCTAAGATCGACTTCCAGTTGCTTCATCTTCATCCGTGCCATGCTTTGCTCATTCTCTAGCCTTAGTGTCTCATTCTCAATCTTCAATCTCTCAAACTCCATGTCTTTCTTACTTCTGTATCTCAACCAATTGAGGCGTTGCTTCTCGAGCTGTAAGGATTCAGCCACGATGCTGACTCGTTGCCCCTGTAGGTGAAACATCTGCTTCTTAACCCACTGGTTCCTATCCCTAGATGTCACATTAGGGTCTCGAAACATGGCAGCCATTTCGACCTCAAAGCTATTGCCCTCTTCATTTCTTCTAGTCCTCTCAGCATTGATATTGACATTTTCATCTTCATTCTCCGAGTCATCATCTTCGCTTTCATCGTTCTCCTCATCCTCGTCAGAACCATCATTCTCTCTCCAGTGTCCCTTCACGGGTAATGAACATCCTTGGAGATCCACATCAGGGCAATTGGGGATCTTTTGTCCATTATGGTAAGCACAAATCTCCTGGTAGAACAACTGTTTCGAGCTCAGTATCTTCCTAACTTCATCCTTGGCCTTGGACGAAAGATGAGGCATCGATTCCATCAAGCCGGGGTTTTCCACAACTTGGCAACTTGTTCCCCTCCCAAGAATGTCATTCAACTTCTTGTACCTCTTGTTCAAATCATTGAACTTATCCTCACACTGCTGGGGCGAAACGTGACAGCCTTTACCGATCATGACCTTCGAAACAGTCTTCCACTTGCCTTTCTTCTGCAGAACCACAGATTTCCTCTTGTGGCTCTCGCCAGTTTCCGGACCATCATCGCCCACATAAGCAACAACAGCAATCAGAAGCCTCACCACATTATCGGTCCATTTCATCCGATGCCACGGAGATATCTTCGTACCCTTCAAACTGTTGGCTGCCTGCCCATCTTCCATCAAGTTTGGATCATCATCTTCTTCACTAAGATCATCGTCATTTGCTTTCCCATAACTCGCCGGATGCCCTTTACGAGCCAGACCTATCGATTCCATTAGCCCCATCGACTGCCCATCGTTATCAATCCCACCAGTTAAGTTCACCTGCCGGTGGTGATGATGATGCATCGAGTGATTACCCATCTGGCTATGTTGATTTCGATGCATCGGAGGAGCTTCTAGGTCCAAGCTCCCCCCAATTGATCCTAACATAAACCGACCACCCATGCTTGAACCATCCATATCAATCCAAGCTCGATTCAATGAGAATGAAAGTCACAAAATTCCTAAGACACCCGCAAACAAAATTTCTCAGCATAACTTGGGTAGATCTCCCATTTCAAAACCTAGTGAAAAGAACAGCAACAAAAGGCTTCCAAATTTCCACCATTCTCATATCTCTCCTTCCATTCATGATCTTACATAACTACTCACAGTCTCAGAAAGGGAAACCCGAGAAACTCAAAGCACTGAACTTTCTCGAAAGGGTAAGTAAACACTAGATTCAATCCCTCAAACACCCTGCAAAAGCTCAAAAAAACTAATGGGGAAGAAATAACTTATTCGATCTTCCGGATTCTTGTGGAAGCAGAGGTCGCCTGGGAGAAGAAAACAAGGCTGCAGTCCCACAAAAGACAGGAAAGGGAAACAGAGTTGTTACAACCAAAGAACATGCGGGGAAAGAAGGAAGCTTTTCGCTGTCTGAGGTTTTACCTAGCTGTGGCTTGGATGATGGTTTGACTGTTGCCACTTGCCAATTGCCACCCACCAAACACGAACAGAGAGAAACAAGCATGTAAATTGTAAAGCAAGAGCAAGAATGTTAAAAGTTAGCACGAAGTAACTGCAGACAGTAATTAGAACTCGTATGGTGGGCTTAGTCTACAGGCCCGTTAAGTACATACTACGTCACTTACAGTAGGCCCAGCCCAATTAACATATGATCAATAACTCGGAATAGATTTTAATTGCAGCAAATGTAAGATAAAGTACAATTAGCACTGCCATAACACTAAAGCATTAATATATATAGGGGTGTACATGGGTGGTTGGTTAGGGTTTAAATTTTTTAATCACCTGACCCATGCACTACGGTTTGAGAATTATCAAACCTAAACCCACCAAAAAAAAATTAAACCCTACGGTTTGTTTCTAATTGGATTGGGTCGGGTTGGCGATATTTTTAAGTAAAAACCCAACCCAACATAAAATATATATAATTATTATACACCATAAAAATATTTTATAACTAATTAAAATTTCAAACAAATAAACCGAGGTGAAAGGTATCAAAATTCACAAATGTTGTTTGAGTTTTAATAATGTGATTTACTGCAACATATGTCTAGTTTTTTTCACGATATTTGTTGAAATAGACTAAAAGGTTATAAACAAATGCATCCATAATATGTTATTCTATTAAAATTGTATACAAGAAAAATGATTACATGAATCATAGTTATATTCAATTTATGTCTAAAATTTAAGTCGAAGAATGCATTAGATTAGAGAGACCATGATAGAAAAACATGGCGAAATATCTTAATTTTCACATAAGTATGGCTATATACGACATAAATATTTTTTAGATGCGAACTCATACTAATAATTGGAACACGGGTTGGGTCGGTTCTACGGGTTGTGTAATCCAAAACCCAAACCCAACCCAAAACCTTAACCTTCCAAAACCTTCATTTTAGCAATAAATACGGGTGGGTTGGATCAGGTTGAACGGGTGGGTCTGTTTGCGGTTTGTTCACCCCTAAATATATATACGAAATGGAACAAAATTTATATATCAAGAAAAGCAACAAAACTCAAAAATTGGACTGTAATTGGTGGGGTGCGCCAGGCCCGTGCAATAGTGCAACGCAAGGGCGACACGCGAGAAGGCCCCTGAAGCAAGCTCCAGTAGTGGGCTTTCTCCCCCTAAAAAAATTAATTTAATATCGTGTGGGCCATTGGCCCACGTATCAGATATTAAACTGATAAGAACAGATACTACACTTGATCTTAGCCAAAAGGCCGAGAAAGGTATGATTTGTCCAGTCTACAGAGCTTCCTTCTTATACCAAGCCCTTTACCATTCCGAGCCAGTTTCCACAATGTGGTATGAAATGCGGTCTCTTCACAGTAGCCCCCGGTCACAGTCTGAAGTAGAGAAAGCAAAAGTAAACATGATGGAAGTGAGAAAACAGTGTGGAGTATATTATGGTTTACTCAGTTAAAACTTAAAAAATCAAGTCAGGCAATCCACTGGTGAACTATTATTGCTGTTCCTGTAAGTGAGATCAGCAGAAGATTAGTACAGGTGAGCAATAGACGTTGCTAACCTGGGTTGTTCTTAAATGGAAATGGTAACCACATTAACCATCTCATGCATTGGTATTTTTGCATAGATTGGAGTAACATGGCTGCTGCAGTAATGGAGGGAAAGATCCACTAATTTGGTTTCAGCAACGTGTTTTAGGTACTTCTGTGATGGGGAAAACTGAAAGCGAAAGTTCGAATGGTTTGACTGAACCATTAACTGAAGAACAGCCATTGCAGTTTCCAGTGGCCTTGAACCTGTGGACACTGATCTCTGACATGAACTGTTTGCTGTAAAGTATGGATTTTCATGAGTTATTCGTCATAAAATTGAAGGTTAATGCAGTTAGTTTAATGTTATTATCGAAATTTGCCTTGACAGCTGATTCGTATACAAGTATGGATTTGGTGATATAATTTCATATGGTGGATATTGGCTGTATTATATAATATACATAGCAAAGTTGGTTGGTTAGATTAGAAATGGTTCCAATCGCCAGAACCATTTCTGCTTCATTCATATTTGATCTTTTCATATCATTCCAAACACAACCCTCTTCGTGCAACAGGATTAAACTAAGCTGGGAAAATGAGTTGGAGTGCTGGGTTGGCAAGAGACACTGCTAAATACCGGTGAGAAAATATACAGTTGGTTAGATCCAAGTCCACTCGTGTATCTGAGATCAGGAAAGATTAAACTAAACCTGAGGAAATGAGCTGGAGATGTGGTTGTTTTGTCATGAAAGATTCACATTGATATTCATCCTTGGCTCCTCCATCCTTCAAAGAAAATTGCAAATCTGGTTTAGGCAATTCATGATCTTTTCTCATCCAGAACCAATTCATCTGGACAACACAAGTGGAAGGGATCTCATCATTCATGATATTTTCTAGGATTGCAGATCCAATATATATTACATCTAGGGCTGTTAATGAGCCGAGTCGAGCCGAGCTTTGCCATAGTTCGGGCTCGGCTCGTTAATATATTTCCAGGCTCGAGCTCGGCTCGTGTTCGTCACGAGCTTTAGTATGCAAGCTCGAGCTCGGCTCATTTATGAAAATGAAAGCTCGAGCTCGGCTCGAGCTCGGCTCGTCAAATAAGTTTAACAAGCCCAAATTCGAGTTCAGCTCATAAAATGTTCATAATAGCTCAAGCTTGACCTAGAACTGCGCACAAAATTACATTCTAACCTGTAGCAAAGTCTAGCAAAGTAAAACACAATATTTATCCCAATTTCAATACATAAAATTCATGAATTCTAATCCTTTTTTATGTCAAACCATTAAATGAGCTTGTTCGCGAGCTTTCGAGCTGAACATGGTATGGCTCGGGTTCGGCTCGTTTAGTTAACGAGCTTGTTCGCGAGCCGGCTCGATTAAAACGAATCGAGTGTCGAACGAGTTTTTCTCGAGTCGCACACCGAGCCGTTTATGAGCGGCTTGGTTCATTAACAGCCCTAATTACATCACACGAAGGGGTTAGCCATTTGATTGTTTCTTATTAATTCCATTCATATTTCCTTCTGCAGCAGATTCTCTACACTAATCCAAGAACAAGATTCCATTATGACATTGTCACTGGCTGAGGTTGATTGATTCAATAATGCTTAGGCTGTAAGAAAATACCATTTGGTCTTTGACTTTGAGTGTTAATCTAGGTTGGCCAACTGCAGAAATTTGCAGTTTATGCTTCTTTTGGAGGCAAGACAAGATCCTTGACGGCTCCTCTTCAGTTCTCGAATATCTGCAGTACTTCAAAAGGTTGCCTTGTTGTAACTGAAATTCAGCTTCCTGGTTTAATATCATTGCTTGCCACGCAAGAAAAATGAAGAACTAAGGATGAGTAGAAATGGTGAAGGTGAAAATCACAGTGCTATGGTTTTTCTATTTTACATGAGATCAAAGTTCGTCGAAAATCACGCCAAACAACCCACTCTTCCTCTACTTCCTGTTCGTAGGATCTGCAAGGAATGTTTGGGCAACATTTAGAAACTTGTAGTACATGTTTCCATTTAACTATTGATCCCTTCCACCATGTAAATACTCTTTCCAGAAAATTGCAGTTTCCCTAACCAGTAAAGGGAAATTCGTTAAGCTGAATAATTGAAAATCAAGCCAGCAAACGTAGCCACTTAGCCATCTGTTGGAACAATGGATCATGAGTCCATCACCATCTCATTCATTGACATATTGAAAACTTAGATTCCTTATGTCTTCTCTCTTACAGATTATACAGTGTTTATGATTAAGATATGATGCCAAGTGGGACAGATTGACATAATTGCTGTACAAATGGAAGGCAAGATCCATCTAATATGGTTTCTCAACGTGTTCTCATTATTGCATTTGGACGTGTGGTGATTACTCATTTCTGAAATAATTAAGGGGGATTTGTCAGCCTTCCATGTGACAAATGATTCCTCAACTTTCATCGCCTCTTGCTTACCTTAGCTGTTTTTTTCACTGTCATGGTTCTCTCGTAGGCAAAGGGTAATTAAAATGGAAATGTAAGCTAGTGCAGGGTAATAGATTGAGAGCAATGAACAGAAAGAGACATAATTTTGCAGGAACTTGGAGACCATGTATATTTATGGAATCGAGTGTCAAAAATTTCTATACATTTTGTACAAGTATTGTTCTGATTATGTAACTACAGATTGTGGATGTTGAGAATGGAGGCTCTTGTTTTGATCAAACGCCTGAAGAGGCTCTCAACTCCTTCCTCAAGATCTTGAATGCATGGCTGCAGGTTCTTGAGACAAAGTTGGATCTCCTCGCTAGACTTGTTCATTTTCAAAGATGCATCCACCTCTGCGAATTCATTCTCGCTTGAAGCTGCTGCTGCAACCCTTTTCAAGAATGACCAGCTGCTTGGCTTCGAGCTTGTTTGAGAAATGAATAACAACAAGCACTCCAAAACCTCAGCAACAGCAGATTCAGCTTCCTTCAACTTGGATATTGTCTCAACGTTGCTTGATGAGGTGGATTTCTTGTTTTCGATGCCCTTCAAGACCTTCTGGAGTGCTTTGATCACAATCTTCTTAGATTTCAGGTATCTTCTGGTTTCTCCTTCCAAACCACATTGCCTTCTGCGAATAGCGGATTGAAGTTCAGCCACGGCCTCTTTCATCGCAGACAAGGCATCCTTGGCAGCGTTGCACAAGTCCAAGAGCCTCAAGGACCCATCCAATAGCTCGTTGAAGCTTTTTTGGTCGTTGATCAAGGCTTGTTGTGTCGTTGGCAGTTGGAACAACTGGTCAACACAATCATACACAACCTGAAGGCTATTAAGGTTGTGGCCAATGGATGATGACGATGTGGAAGCAGCTTGAGATTGCCTCAATCTGCAAACCTGCTCTTCGATTTCTGAGACTAGAGGGTGTGATGCTGTAGGCAAACTGTTGGAGCGAGCATGGAAAGAAATAGCTGCCATTTTTTTTTTATCTTGGTGAATATGAGAGGAAGGAATGAAAGACTGAGAGAGATATGGCTGGAGATGATTTGCAATGACTTCTTTAGCACC